CTCCATGGTAGACCAACGATGAAACGCCCGTTTTCGTGTTTACAAGACTCCTTAACTATTTTGACTGTTTCAAGTCTTCTACAGAACGACCCCTCTCTGGGACACCGCAGTCACAAAACTCCTTGTCATACATATTTTTAATCATAGTTTCTAGTTTGTCTCCATCGTTTGCAACCAATGATGATATGTGGACTATGGGTATAGGTCCTCCTACTGCACATCGTAGCGTTGATTTCGTCGCGAACGGATCATCTCTACCTCCGAATCTCTCTTCTAATACCTTATGAGCTTCTGGCACACTACATCCAATCAGTACTCTCACTCTTCCATCTTGCAGTGTTGGAAGAGGTATGTCACACAGGTATGGCTTACCGACAACCATTTCACGACTAGGTACTACAGCTTCACCGAGTTTCATACTGGAAGTAGTTTAAGCAGTACCTACTTCAACGGTTTCCCCAGTAGCCAAGGATTCTAACTGAAATGACACTCGTTCACGTATTAACGTTTGTGGGAAACTGAGAGTATTTGTGACCGAGGATTATTTTGGGTCCTTAATACCCAAGCAGCCAGCCAGTTTAGCGTCTATCAATGTAATGTTAGAACCATTATCTAGCAACGCATATGTATCGGCACATGACCTCTGTTCTCTTGCTCTTACTGGCACAACACCTAATTAGACCTTCTGGAAATAGTGTGGTGCGAAATTGCTATTACAATAATAGAACTCTCCTGATTCTTCGATACTGTCAACAGAGGATGTAATCCCGATGAACCACTGCCACTATTATCAGCTGTCTCACAGTTAAGCCTTGTGTGCCCGTCCTTTAAAAAGCGGAAGCATAACCGTTTCCTTTTCCTAATTTGTAACCTTTCTGTCGGAGACATTTGAAGGGAACGAGGATACTCACCAAGTATGTGTACGTCGCCGGAGATAACACACTTTCCTGAACGTCCAATGCTTTGGGAACCTCTCGTCACAGATGACTTTGTCTTACTCGCTGAACTCTCAGTTTCAGAAGCCGGATGCGATATACTGGCGAATTTAGTTATAGTCTGATTAACATTATCTGTCACTAATCTCAGTATATCGTCAAACCCTGCCTCTAAACCTTCGTCCTCTATACCAGAGCTTATCTTCACCCATTTTCTTTGCAGTCGAGTAGGTAGGCGTCTCGTTATTACCTCTAGGACGGAACTCGATTTCAGATCGCTCATGCAATTCGTCGAAAACAACGTATTAAAGTAGGTCATCAGATTATCCAGAAACTCAGAGAGTGCCTTGGAGTCACCTTGTAATTTACTACCACCACCTTTAAGAGCCTCGAATACACTTCTTACAATCATCAAAGGTCTTCCAAACCTTTGGTGCAGGACAAGCATAGCCTCCATATTTCCCTCCCTACGTGGCAGAAACTTGCAGCACTGCATTGCACTCGCTGCACTACCAGCACAATACCTCAACAAGTACATTAGTTTCATTTCATCACTTATTTTCAAGCCGTGTAGCATAACTTTCATTTCTTCCACAAATTGAGGAAAGTCAGCAGGATTCCCTTGAAAGCACCTAGACTCGCACTTCGGCGGCTTTGAGTAACTTATCTCTCAAACTGGTACATAATGATTATCCAACATAACATCAGAAATAACATTACATCCATTAGATAAATCATCAAGACTTACTATGTCGTCTACCTCCAGAACGCTTCGTCCTTTCTTTGGTCCAGACATTATTGAACGTTACCAAACGACCTAGAAAAATTCTAAATAACCCTCACCCAAATAAAACTTGCAGACACGAGGAAATACGAATTTCCAACAAATACGACGAATAGTTCCAGGAGATATCAGAAGCTGTCACTGTGCAGGTCTAACCACACTGGACTTAACGCTGTTCTTAGAAGACCTTCAGCAACAATGTGCAATAACCTGCGCGAAAAAACAGAACACAAATTGGTGACTCGAGAATCCTTTATTATTGCACCAATATGGAACCAACAATGAGGTTATTATACACAAAGTCTAAGAATAAATATCATAACAATTAATCACAATAATACTTTTGATAGTATTTCTCCATCTTCTAACGAACAGCATACGATGGAACGATGACTGCAGTATCGGTGACTCCCGCCAAAATATGGAGTTGGTTTTGGGTGAACAACCATGAATGGATTGTTCGTTCTTCAACTACATTGACAGTTTGAGAGCAGGTAGACCATTCGTTATCCGAGGGGCACGTGGCACAAACAATCATGGTCATACAGAGTATTCTGCATTTGGTGATGTGACTGCGAAATACCTGTTGACATTCAACTCTGGCAGTTGCTGTCTTACACTAAAAACTGAGAGGAGTTGCGGCAGCTGGCGAAATCAAACTACCTCATTCATCTATTTACACTCCAAACAATACAACTTTTCACACGAAATCTGAGATACCCAAACACTTGAGTAAGATTGCCCAAGCACAGTACACAGATCAAGACAATATAACCAGACACAAGAAACCAGGTGAAGGGATTCAATTTGCCCTATATGAGCCAATGAAAAGGATATCAGAAATTGGTAACTGCTTCAACACTACAGAGTGCCGAAAACATGTATAAACCGGAGATGAAAGTGTGGAGATGGTGGGGAATGTTGGCCTGTTGTGTAGGTAGTTTCTACAAGTGGAAATCACTACAGTATGTCGGACATCAAATAACACTTTTGAGTCTCAACACTTCAGCATGAATTGTGGTATTTGCAAAAAAGTATTCAATTAGCCAAGTGCCTTAGAATAGTGCCCCTTAGTATGCCTGACGATGGAGTGAAGATAGTGTGTCTCATCGTCGGATCACCTTCTTAGTAGCGAAGCTTCTCTATAATCTATCTTGTATTCCCCACAAAACAAATCGATATTCGTCATCTTACAGTAACCAAAAGAGCCATAACATTTGAGAATAAAACAGATATTGTATATAGGAATATGTCGAATTCTTAGGAAGGTTCCATGACGCTGGGAATCGAGCTGGAAGAAATATGGTAGCTTATATCAGCTGGTCACTGAATATTGCATATTGGAACTCAGTTTCATGTGCGCTCGTACCATCAGCTGGATGACTTTTCAAACTGAATTAGCTTCAAGGGTCTTAGGTTATTGACTTTCACCGATGGTACGAAGTATACTGAAGCAAGATCTAATGCCAAAAACTTCTATAGTATTCGTTCCGCGCAGACAAAGGCAAAGCCAAAAGACATTATTCGATCGTCCAAATTACGAGATATATTTCAGGACCAAATCAGAGTGCGGTATGATTGCTCAGCTGGCTAGGGATTGTGCACAGAAGTGACACGATGGATGCTTGACCGGAGGCCTTCACCTGAACACGTTGACTTAAACAGTGAGGGCCAGAATCCAATGCTCAATGAATTATTTACCGCTACTAGGTGCCACAAAAATTTAACACCTTTCTTACCAAATTGACATTTACTTGGCTTAATGACAACCCTATACCTAGCCACACGTCTAAAGAGAATTTCCAAGTGATGTTATTGCTCTTCAGGTGATTTATTTGTGACCAGCATATCATCGATATGTGCGTAAGGGAATGTGAGGCCATCCAAGGCCTGGTCACTGAAATGTTTTCGCTGCTTTAGTGAGACCAAATGGCAGACGGACGATATCGAATAAGCCAAAAGGAGTGTTTACCGCAGTTTTGGCGATGTCCTTGGGTTCGACAGGTATGAGTAGTATGCACGAACGAGATCAATTTCGGAAAATATATATGAGCACCTGTCATGCTATGAAAAAATTGTGGATATGCAGCATTGGGCGTCTATCTACTATTGTCTGCTTATTTAAAGCTCGGTAATCGCCACATGCTTGTATCTCCTTTGAGTTCTTCTTCGGTACTGTATAAAGCGGTGATGACCATGAGCCGTTTGATGATTGCATTACTCCTATATCCAACAGTCTGTTGAACTCTTCTTTTGCCATCTGCATTTTAACTGGATCTAAACGACGTGGTTTTCCTGCGACAGGCGGACCTTTAGTGACAATATGGTACGTTACGTTGTGTTTGAGAGAGGCTGTGAAGTAATCAGTCTATGTGAGTTCAGGAAATTTTTAGGCGGAACGTCGTACGTGGATAAGTGATGTAGCTGCCATTAAGCGCATACCCTCGACATAGGTGGAGACGCCTGAAATCGATGGTCTGCAATTTATCAATCTATGGCGACTTGAGTCTACTAGCAATTCGTAGTGCTGAAAAAAATCCATCCCAATTATAGGAAAGGTTATATCGGCAATGACAAACTCCTGCTCAGATGGTATTATGCAATCAAAATCAAGTTTTTGTTTTCTAGTTCCAATAGTTTTTATAGTAGAGCTGTTCACAGCCTTAAGTACTAATGCAGAATTTGGCTGTAAACGTTCGCTGGGTGTTGAAGGAACTACATTAACTTTTGCACCGTTACATACTAGGAGTTGTTCTCTCATTATTTTATCGGTCACCCTGAAGAGACGAGTGTGAGACAGGTGTTGGCCAGCGACCGCCAGCCTTTTCATTTCCTAACGCCATAGACACGTGGAAAGCACATGGTTGTGTGCACCGTTTAGCCTGTACAACCAATTTTCGATGATAACATCATACAGTCTGTTGTAAGCTATATTCACATACACTGAGTGAGCGACTTCACTGTCTTCTGTATTATGTAATAGGTTGCCTACAAAATCTCATCGTCAGTAATTGCCAGGTCAGAACGTTTACTTTACGTTCTAGTGCTCATATGCATTCGTCTGATTATTTATCGAATACAGATGTTGATTGTCGAGACATACTGTCAATGTAGTTGAAGATTGAAGGATCAATTCATGGTTGTTTGCTCAAAACCAACTTCCCCAAATTTCGTGGAGGTGTTGAGTACGTAACAATGTGATTGTACACTTTTTAGGTACTTGTATAAATTCGAGATATTGTACATAATTTTTGTTTAAATCGCTTCTTGTTGAAATATACATAATTTCCGTGTACAATTGAAAAATACACTCTGCTGTTGGAGACTTCGTCTTCTCCCTGGTCACTTCTACTTACTTGCTCCACTCACACCGTGTTGTATACTTCGGATTTATTGTAGGAGCCTACTACTTTCAACCGAAGACATTTCTACAACCGGAACACAGCAGCTACAGCAGACGCAGTCCAAACAGTTAACGTGCCTGTGGATTATATAATTAATTTGTAGCCGAGGACTTACACTTTATAACCAAGTAATCCTTTTTGTTGCTATAACTCGTCACTGTATTTTTGGTAATATATTGTGATTTAACACTCCACTGACTTGGATTATTACTTTTATACTTGGAATGTTAGTGAACTCTAATATTAGTCCCCTACAAATTAATTGGTGAGCCCGATAAGAACACGGATTATTTTGGCATATTTATATTCTTATTTTTGCTATTTTTATATTCATTGTGATTTTGTGTGTGGTTTATATTTGTATCCTAATTTGCACCAATAACCTCATATTATAATGTCATCACCTCAGTCCGGTACATCAAACGAGCAGACAACTAATAGCGAGACAAATGCCACAATAAATGCCATCACTGATTTTCGTTTACCCCAATACGGTTTCGCAGAACCAAGGATTTGGTTTGCGGTAATTGAACCGTTGCTAGAAGCACGGGGCATTAAGTCCCAAATAGCCAAATATGGTATGGTGCTGGCAGAACTCCCTCCGTCAGTATTGACAGAAATCAGCGATTTCATCGAAGATCCTCCGACGGAACATCAATTTGATAAACTTAAAGCCCTCCTCATACAACGTACCAGTTTGTCGGATGAGAAAAGAATCCAACAATTGCTCACAGGCTGTGAACTAGGCCCACGTAAACCATCCCAGCTGCTCAGGCACATGCGCCAGTTAATCGGACATCATAAAGTAGACGAGGTAGTGCTGAAACAGATGTGGTTGCAACGTTTACCTAGAAATGTCCAGCAAATTTTAATCATCTCAGGAAAGTCGTATGACTTAGACCAACTAAGTGACATGGCAGATAGTATTTTGGATGTTTTATCCGATAACACCATAAGTCACGTAGCATCTGATAGTGCCACACCGTGTCATTCCACACCCACGGCAGACACACCGATACTCGCCGCCATTGCAGACTTAGCGGCAAGGATTGACAATTTGGAAACTAATAAGTCTGATCGACAAGTCCGGAGACGGAGTTCACAAAGAAGGTCACCATCACGACGACGATCCTTCTCACGACAGCGTTCTTACACGTCTTCTCGGGATAGCAATATATGCTGGTATCACTGGAAGTTTGGACGTCATGCCCTGAAATGTGTAAAACCGTGCAGCTTTAGCGAAGCCAACCAGGCTCAGGGAAACGCCTCAGCCAGACAGTGATGGCGACAGCTGTTACTGGCAAGCAAACAAGTCGCCTCTTCTATGTGAAGGATAAAACTTCAGACACTTTATTCCTGGTAGACACGGGAGCAGAAGTTAGCGTAATCCCTCCTTCACTATCCAGGCGATCTACACGGACACCCGGAAAACTGTCTCTCCGGGCAGCTAACCACACAAGCATACAGACGTATGGAGAGCAATCCCTCATACTGGATCTAGGTTTACGTCGGCGTTTCACATGGATTTTCATAGTAGCCGACGTCAGTCACGCCATCCTCGGAGCAGATTTCTTGAGTAATTTCAACCTGTTAGTTGACGTCAACAATAAAAAACTGATTGATAACAACACCCATCTAAAGATCCATGGAATTATCTCCAGCTATTCTGTCTATAATATCAGTATTGAAAGACCAGCAGATTGCCCTTTTTCCTCCCTACTTCACCGTTTCCCTAAAATTCTTAAGCCGTCGTACAACATCGAGGACGTCCCTCACACAGTTACTCACAAGATAGTTACTACGGGTCAACCAGTTCGTGCTCGTCCCGTAGATTACCCCCGGACAAATTGGCAGCAGCCAAGGCAGAATTTGAACACATGATGCAGCTCGGCATCATCAGACCCTCCAATAGTCCTTGGTCTTCGCCCTTACACATGGTGCCTAAAGCTGATCATGATTGGAGGCCATGTGGGGATTACCGACATTTAAACAATGCCACAGTTCCCGACCGTTATCCTATTCCTCATCTTCATGATTTCTCCCTGACATTACACGGAAAAACCATTTTTTCTAAAGTAGACTTGGTCAGGGCCTATCACCAAATACCAGTTGCCCAAGAGGATATCGAAAAAACGGCCATCATCACACCTTTCGGTTTGTTTGAATTTCTCCGCATGCCATTTGGCCTAAAGAACGCAGCACAATCCTTCCAACGTTTCATGGATCAGGTCACACAAGGTTTGGACTTTGTATTTGTATATATCGATGACGTTTTAATTGCTAGCTCGTCGCCCGAAGAACATACTGATCACCTCACCATCTTATTTCAACGATTTGAGCAATATGGAGTCGTCATTAACCCCAAAAAGTGCATATTCGGTGTCTCCTCTATACAGTTTCTGGGACACCACATAACCACGAATGGTATTACGCCTACGGAGGAAAAGATAGAGTCCATCAAAAACTTCCCCGAACCAGATTCACTCAAGAAGGTCAGACGTTTTTTGGGGATGTTTAATTTCTATCGGCGTTTCATTCCTTCGTGTGCCTCCATCGTCCAGCCGTTAACCGACCTCCTTAAAAATGATCCTAAAAAGTTTCAGTGGTCAGCTGAAGCACGCGAATCATTTTGCAACGCAAAAGATGCCTTATCCAGAGTCACTATGCTATCCCATATCAACCCCGAAGCGTCGCTTATTTTGTGCACAGATGCCTCCCAAGTAGCTGTAGGGGCAGTATTACAACAAAAGATGAAGGGCGAAGTCACCCCACTCGCATTCTTTTCTAAGAAGTTGGAACCGGCTCAGACACGATACAGCACTTTTGGGAGAGAATTGCTGGCCATATATCTTGCAGTGAAGCATTTCAGTTACTTACTACAGGGCCGGCATTTCACTATTTTTACTGACCACAAGCCCCTGTGTCATGCTTTCACTACTTCACTTGATAAACACTCCCCTAGAGAAGCCAGACAGTTGGATTATATCTCCCAATTTTCAACCGACATTCAGTACATCAAAGGGGATGCGAACGTGGTAGCCGATTCTCTTTCAAGAAGTGACATTAACCAGCTCCAAACGTCGGTAGACATCAGTCTTGATCGTATGGCTCAATTACAAAGAGATGACGTTGAACTCCAAACCTGCCGCAGAAACTCTTCCTTACAACTCAAAGATGTGCCTATCCCCTTATCAGATGCAACCATAGTCTGCGATGTATCTACCGGCACTAATCGTCCATTTGTCCCTCTCAGTTGCCGAAAAGCATTGTTCGAACATTTACATTCGCTTTCCCACCCTGGAGTACGCGCCACGGTCAGACTGATCAGCGAACGCTTCGTGTGGCCTAAAATGAACTCTGACATTCGGAGATGGGCACGAGAATGTATCCAATGCCAATGCTCCAAAGTACACCGCCACACTATTACAACCCCGAAGACGTTTAAATTACCCGAAAGGAGATTTCAGCATATCCATATAGATATCGTGGGACCATTGCCAACATCAAGGGGATATACACATATCCTGACAGCGATTGATAGATTTACTCGTTGGGCTATTGCATGCCCCTTAAACGACATATCTGCTGAAAACGTTGCTTTAGTTTTTCTCGACCGTTGGGTGTCAAACTACGGTGTACCAACTACTATTACATCCGACCGCGGTCCTCAATTCCAATCGACACTCTTTCGCGAACTGACGAGACTTCTGGGAGTGAAACATATCTCCACAACAGCCTATCATCCGGCAGCGAATGGTCTAGTGGAAAGATTCCACAGACAACTGAAAAGCTCCCTGATGGCGCAGAATGATACATCTAAGTGGAGTGAATACTTACCTTTGATTTTACTTGGTATCCGATCTACTATCAAAGAAGATTTAGGATGTACACCGGCTCAACTTGTCTATGGCACCAACCTAACCTTGCCTGGACAGCTAGTCCCCTCAGCCGATTCCACAGACGTGAACATTGCCGACTTCACTAACCGATTAACTAGACAAATGCTTCAACTTCAACCAACAGCACCTCGACAATCTCCCCGACGAGATCAGATCAACAAACATCTACAAACTTGCAAATTCGTCTTCATTCGAGTCGACGCCATCAGAAAAGGATTGCAACCTCCATACGAAGGACCCTTTCAAGTTATTAAACGTTCAGACAAACACTTTACAGTGAACAAGAATGGAAAACGAGAGACTATTTCCATTGATCGAATCAAACCCGCATACACCGACAACGACTTCGAATCTACATCGGCAACTGCGCAATCAAATAATCAAACATCCGATTCCACTCCACCGGCACCAAGTCTTATCCTCCCTCCATATCAAACACGTAGTGGTCGGCAAATCAGTAAACCGGCTCGCTACGTTCATTTTGAGGACTAACAAAAGAAAAATAATTAAAAATTATTATTATCTTTTTCGTTTAGACATTATCATCATGACCGTTAGTATTTCGTCGTAAACTTTGATGTTACTATCACTATTATTTATTTATATGTACCTCACCGAAAAAACAGGTAGTGTCCTTTCCAAAAACTATTGATCTTTAATCCATATTTTTTTTAATGTTTCTTTCCCCTCCTTAATTACTGTGTATTTACATATTTTTCTTTATACATTAAAAATCTATGTTCATGGTTAGTGCAAATTTAAGTGACATGACTTTCTATTTCAATTTTTATTGCTGAACTTATTGTATATGCTTTCAGACTTTACATGATTCACATACCTTCTCGCGTTTATGCATGTTGTAATATATCCCTATTTTTATCCAAAAGTTGCTATTACTATTATTATTTACTTCATAGTTTTACGTATCATTTTCCGGTTGTCTCTCCGGACCTCTAGGGGGGAGCCGTGTTGAGTACGTAACAATGTGATTGTACACTTTTTAGGTACTTGTATAAATTCGAGATATTGTACATAATTTTTGTTTAAATCGCTTCTTGTTGAAATATACATAATTTCCGTGTACAATTGAAAAATACACTCTGCTGTTGGAGACTTCGTCTTCTCCCTGGTCACTTCTACTTACTTGCTCCACTCACACCGTGTTGTATACTTCGGATTTATTGTAGGAGCCTACTACTTTCAACCGAAGACATTTCTACAACCGGAACACAGCAGCTACAGCAGACGCAGTCCAAACAGTTAACGTGCCTGTGGATTATATAATTAATTTGTAGCCGAGGACTTACACTTTATAACCAAGTAATCCTTTTTGTTGCTATAACTCGTCACTGTATTTTTGGTAATATATTGTGATTTAACACTCCACTGACTTGGATTATTACTTTTATACTTGGAATGTTAGTGAACTCTAATATTAGTCCCCTACAGAGGCATCAATACAGCCGACATCGTCTCATCGGTCGCTGTTCAGAAAGAAGTCAGACCAAAACTGTCAGAAGTAACATTGTGATTTATTATTGTAATATTTGTTCATAGACCTTAGTTGAAACTTAATTTTAAAGCTGCCTATATGTTGGTGTTACAATAAAGAATTCTCGAGTAGCCAATCGGTGTTTTGGTTTTGCGTCCGTTATTACTAAGCGTTTCTGAGGAACTTCAAGGAACAGCGTGAGTCCCAGTGTAGCAAGAGGTGGGCATTGACGGTTTACGTGACGTGGCCGACACATACCTTCATACATTGTTGGGAATTACAAATCGCCACAAGCCCACCCCTAATTTTCATTCTCTGTATATTAAAGTGAAATCCAAATTCACAAGAAAGTTGAATGCTTACAGATGAAAGAATGTGTGGCAATTATGTAATCCGCATTAAAGGTACTCGAAAAACATCCCAAAAATTGACTGATATTAGTGTTATCTATTTCTGAAGTGTTTGAAAGCCAACTTATTTTTCACTTTATATATATATATAAACTTCGAAATACGTTTCAGACAATGGATGAATCCACTATGAAGTAAATATTGTGTCAGAAACTGCGATTCCGAAGGACTAAGAGGTGCCATGAGAAGGAGACAGGTAAATAAAATATGAGAAAAAGGCTTCCGATGTCATGAATCATAGTTTGTCAGGCTTACAGCACATCGTCATAGACATTTTTACCCCAAATCTACAAAACCTGGCTTTATCAAACTGATACGTGTTGTGACTGTGTGTTTCATTACCATCCGCGTAGAATGGCTTACATTCTGTGATGTCAGCATGTAAATAAGTCGATATCCAACGGCATTCGCTTAGACAGAGAGCCGAGATTCTCTATAAATCACTGATGTCGTGGACCTGTGGCTTTTCGGCGACATTCATCCATGGAACCTGAGAAATGAAACGAAGAGTTGGTCAGCCTGCGAGGTGGCGCTGTGGCGTTAAGGACTGTTGTGTTATCTTATGTTGCTGCATGTTGACTCTCTAGATAAGGTTCGAAAGACAATTTGAATATGTCTAAAGACGTTGCTGGATCGAAATCAATCACAAACATGCTGCGGTTTCCTGCTTACTCTTCTTTCCGAATGTGACAGATATACCCACCTGTTTTTGTTCTTTTGGTGCTCAATTACTTCACACTTCTTGTCCTCAAGCTGCTGTTCCATCTTCTGTGCCGTACATTCCTTCATTTTCATATTGTACCAAGTTTGTGTTCCCAATAAATAATATCATTCAATGTCGAGTTTTTATTTTATTTCACAAAGTTTTCAGATTGTGACAGTACTTTAGACGCAATAGGTAACAAACTAACACTCCACTTATTACAACGTGCATCACGTAGACCCTGTTTAAAGGTAGTTTCCTGCACTCGCAAATAATCTCGCCAGTTGACTGATGGAAGTTCATCACCATCTGTAAAGGGTGTCCAGAGTAAGTTATTTGCTTTCGCTGTTGTATGCTTAGAGTTCCTTTCGGGGACTCCGCTTCATCATACGAATCGGCGTTAACTTTCTACAGAGCATAGCAATCAAGGAGTGCAAGGAATATTTTGTGGAATGTTTGTTTTCGTCAACTTCTTTCTTAGTTCCTAAACTGTAACTTCCGTAAATATCATCATTACAGTAATCGGAAAAGACACAAAACAAGATTATATGATTACTGATGTCCATCGATATCAGAACTGCTGAAACTGTTGAGAAAATAAATAGGTAGCTATTCTTTGCACCATATGTTGCAGTTCATTTGTTCAAAACGCTTTCGTTACTTAATGCATGCTCGTTGTTCACTAAGGTTCTGTTACATGGGGGGGGGGGCACGTCTCATTTGTAATTATATCGGCTTACACAAGGCAAACGTAGAAACGCCTATTTCATACTTGAAAGAGCTTATGCTTCGGTGTATGTTGAAGTTCTAATTTCCTTTGGGTGCTGATCACTATGGGTTCGGCCCTAGTAACATTGTTAACAGATTCCTGTTGGACTGGTATAGAGTAGTGTGCTCTTGTGCCTGCTATCAAGAGAACCATATAAAATATGCAAGTGACGTGTTTGTCGTATGTGATGGTAACTGCGATTTGGAAGACACTCAGATAGCATTCAGTAGCAGCCATTCTGCTCGCCAATTTACGTTAAAAAAATTAGTAGTAAAGTATCTCTCCTTGATGTTCTACATACAAAGAGAGCTGATGGGTCATTGAAAAGACCAAATGCAGAAGTCGGTATCGATGGGGTAACTGAATAAATGGTGCAGTTTCTCCTCCACTGACAGAAAAACAAATTTAATCCGATATCGCTCGGCACATGTTCAGAGAGTCTGTAGTGATGATATTGCTGTTGGAAAGCTTAGACAAATGAAAGGAACCTTTGTGAGGTATGAATGTACAATACAGTTTCTGGGGCGATTGGTAAACTGTTTGGTAGAAATACAGACTGGAAGAATATACATGAAAAGATGTTGCAGCCAAACGTAGAATTTAGGGTGACAGCATGTGCGAAGACCTTAGTAACCGACTGACAGGGTCAAAGAGGAAACTATTCTTTACTGATTTTCTGAATAACATATGCAAGTCTTCCATTTGTGCACGCTGATGTTATGGAAATGTTACAATGATTATCCGCTTCTAACTTCAGTTATATGTTAACCTTCTGTTGTTAAACTAGCTATATAGAAGTTTGATGTAGAAAGATATCTTGTGCGTTATGGAGCACGTGCCACTTTGGCTGAGCAAAGGAGGGCGTTAAGCTGTTAATTCAACCGCATTACAGCATGTGGCATAAGTGTAGCTGTTTACGCAGAGAAAATCTTCGTAACACATAACATAAAGACAGTATTTTGTGTGCAAAAATAATTCGTACGATTACTTTTGTTGACCTGGACTTAATTCTACCGTGCCGTTCGTAAAACTTCCTTATTCATGTTTTTTCAGATAGGTTGTATTATTTCGTTCTGCGTTGTGCTCTAATATTCTGTCGATTTTACTGACGACACATTTCTCATCTTATTTTCCCAACTTACTGAAATTAACATGAGAAACTTAATGCACTGAATCTTGCCATCATCTATTTACTGAAGTCTATTCTAGTCAGTGCTGACCTAGAAGAATTCATATTTCTGAACAGTTTGAAATTCGTATTCATATAGGACCATAGCAACGCGCTCCAGTGTTCCCAATTACTTTCGAATTTTGATACAAAAAAAGAAATTTATTTGTAACTATCTTCTGTGACTCATATACAAATGCGGATGTACAGCTTTGAAAATATAATCGCCGTCAAGAAGATGGTCAATGTAATTGAAGATGGAACGTTCAATTAATGGTTGTTTGCTCAAACCCAACTCCCCTATATTTTCGCGGAGACATCGATATACCAGTCATCGTCTCATCGGTCGCTGTTCAGAAAGAAGTCAGACCAAAACTGTCAGAAGTAACATTGTGATTTATTATTGTAATATTTGTTCATAGACCTTAGTTAAAACTTAATTTTAAAGCTGCCTATATGTTGGTGTTACAATAAAGAATTCTCGAGTAGCCAATCGGTGTTTTGGTTTTGCGTCCGTTATTACTAAGCGTTTCTGAGGAACTTCAAGGAACAGCGTGAGTCCCAGTGTAGCAAGAGCTGGGCATTGACGGTTTACGTGACGTGGCCGACACATACCTTCATACATTGTTGGGAATTACAAATCGCCACAAGCCCACCCCTAATTTTCATTCTCTGTATATTAAAGTGAAATCCAAATTCACAAGAAAGTTGAATGCTTACAGATGAAAGAATGTGTGGCAATTATGTAATCCGCATTAAAGGTACTCGAAAAACATCCCAAAAATTGACTGATATTAGTGTTATCTATTTCTGAAGTGTTTGAAAGCCAACTTATTTTTCACTTTATATATATATATAAACTTCGAAATACGTTTCAGACAATGGATGAATCCACTATGAAGTAAATATTGTGTCAGAAACTGCGATTCCGAAGGACTAAGAGGTGCCATGAGAAGGAGACAGGTAAATAAAATATGAGAAAAAGGCTTCCGATGTCATGAATCATAGTTTGTCAGGCTTACAGCACATCGTCATAGACATTTTTACCCCAAATCTACAAAACCTGGCTTTATCAAACTGATACGTGTTGTGACTGTGTGTTTCATTACCATCCGCGTAGAATGGCTTACATTCTGTGATGTCAGCATGTAAATAAGTCGATATCCAACGGCATTCGCTTAGACAGAGAGCCGAGATTCTCTATAAATCACTGATGTCGTGGACCTGTGGCTTTTCGGCGACATTCATCCATGGAACCTGAGAAATGAAACGAAGAGTTGGTCAGCCTGCGAGTGGCGCTGTGGCGTTAAGGACTGTTGTGTTATCTTATGTTGCTGCATGTTGACTCTCTAGATAAGGTTCGAAAGACAATTTGAATATGTCTAAAGACGTTGCTGGATCGAAATCAATCACAAACATGCTGCGGTTTCCTGCTTACTCTTCTTTCCGAATGTGACAGATATACCCACCTGTTTTTGTTCTTTTGGTGCTCAATTACTTCACATTTCTTGTCCTCAAGCTGCTGTTCCATCTTCTGTGCCGTACATTCCTTCATTTTCATATTGTACCAAGTTTGTGTTCCCAATAAATAATATCATTCAATGTCGAGTTTTTATTTTATTTCACAAAGTTTTCAGATTGTGACAGTACTTTAGACGCAATAGGTAACAAACTAACACTCCACTTATTACAACGTGCATCACGTAGACCCTGTTTAAAGGTAGTTTCCTGCACTCGCAAATAATCTCGCCAGTTGACTGATGGAAGTTCATCACCATCTGTAAAGGGTGTCCAGAGTAAGTTATTTGCTTTCGCTGTTGTATGCTTAGAGTTCCTTTCGGGGACTCCGCTTCATCATACGAATCGGCGTTAACTTTCTACAGAGCATAGCAATCAAGGAGTGCAAGGAATATTTTGTGGAATGTTTGTTTTCGTCAACTTCTTTCTTAGTTCCTAAACTGTAACTTCCGTAAATATCATCATTACAGTAATCGGAAAAGACACAAAACAAGATTATATGATTACTGATGTCCATCGATATCAGAACTGCTGAAACTGTTGAGAAAATAAATAGGTAGCTATTCTTTGCACCATATGTTGCAGTTCATTTGTTCAAAACGCTTTCGTTACTTAATGCATGCTCGTTGTTCACTAAGGTTCTGTTACATGGGGGGGGGGGCACGTCTCATTTGTAATTATATCGGCTTACACAAGGCAAACGTAGAAACGCCTATTTCATACTTGAAAGAGCTTATGCTTCGGTGTATGTTGAAGTTCTAATTTCCTTTGGGTGCTGATCACTATGGGTTCGGCCCTAGTAACATTGTTAACAGATTCCTGTTGGACTGGTATAGAGTAGTGTGCTCTTGTGCCTGCTATCAAGAGAACCATATAAAATATGCAAGTGACGTGTTTGTCGTATGTGATGGTAACTGCGATTTGGAAGACACTCAGATAGCATTCAGTAGCAGCCATTCTGCTCGCCAATTTACGTTAAAAAAATTAGTAGTAAAGTATCTCTCCTTGATGTTCTACATACAAAGAGAGCTGATGGGTCATTGAAAAGACCAAATGCAGAAGTCGGTATCGATGGGGTAACTGAATAAATGGTGCAGTTTCTCCTCCACTGACAGAAAAACAAATTTAATCCGATATCGCTCGGCACATGTTCAGAGAGTCTGTAGTGATGATATTGCTGTTGGAAAGCTTAGACAAATGAAAGGAACCTTTGTGAGGTATGAATGTACAATACAGTTTCTGGGGCGATTGGTAAACCGTTTGGTAGAAATACAGACTGGAAGAATATACATGAAAAGATGTTGCAGCCAAACGTAGAATTTAGGGTGACAGCATGTGCGAAGACCTTAGTAACCGACTGACAGGGTCAAAGAGGAAACTATTCTTTACTGATTTTCTGAATAACATATGCAAGTCTTCCATTTGTGCACGCTGATGTTATGGAAATGTTACAATGATTATCCGCTTCTAACTTCAGTTATATGTTAACCTTCTGTTGTTAAACTAGCTATATAGAAGTTTGATGTAGAAAGATATCTTGTGCGTTATGGAGCACGTGCCACTTTGGCTGAGCAAAGGAGGGCGTTAAGCTGTTAATTCAACCGCATTACAGCATGTGGCATAAGTGTAGCTGTTTACGCAGAGAAAATCTTCGTAACACATAACATAAAGACAGTATTTTGTGTGCAAAAATAATTCGTACGATTACTTTTGTTGACCTGGACTTAATTCTACCGTGCCGTTCGTAAAACTTCCTTATTCATGTTTTTTCAGATAGGTTGTATTATTTCGTTCTGCGTTGTGCTCTAATATTCTGTCGATTTTACTGACGACACATTTCTCATCTTATTTTCCCAACTTACTGAAATTAACATGAGAAACTTAATGCACTGAATCTTGCCATCATCTATTTACTGAAGTCTATTCTAGTCAGTGCTGACCTAGAAGAATTCATATTTCTGAACAGTTTGAAATTCGTATTCATATAGGACCATAGCAACGCGCTCCAGTGTTCCCAATTACTTTCGAATTTTGATACAAAAAAAGAAATTTATTTGTAACTATCTTCTGTGACTCATATACAAATGCGGATGTACAGCTTTGAAAATATAATCGCCGTCAAGAAGATGGTCAATGTAATTGAAGATGGAACGTTCAATTAATGGTTGTTTGCTCAAACCCAACTCCCCTATATTTTCGCGGAGACATCGATATACCAGTCATCGTCTCATCGGTCGCTGTTCAGAAAGAAGTCAGACCAAAACTGTCAGAAGTAACATTGTGATTTATTATTGTAATATTTGTTCATAGACCTTAGTTAAAACTTAATTTTAAAGCTGCCTATATGTTGGTGTTACAATAAAGAATTCTCGAGTAGCCAATCGGTGTTTTGGTTTTGCGTCCGTTATTACTAAGCGTTTCTGAGGAACTTCAAGGAACAGCGTGAGTCCCAGTGTAGCAAGAGCTGAGCATTGACGGTTTACGTGACGTGGCCGACACATACCTTCATACATTGTTGGGAATTACAAATCGCCACAAGCCCACCCCTAATTTTCATTCTCTGTATATTAAAGTGAAATCCAAATTCACAAGAAAGTTGAATGCTTACAGATGAAAGAATGTGTGGCAATTATGTAATCCGCATTAAAGGTACTCGAAAAACATCCCAAAAATTGACTGATATTAGTGTTATCTATTTCTGAAGTGTTTGAAAGCCAACTTATTTTTCACTTTATATATATATATATAAACTTCGAAATACGTTTCAGACAATGGATGAATCCACTATGAAGTAAATATTGTGTCAGAAACTGCGATTCCGAAGGACTAAGAGGTGCCATGAGAAGGAGACAGGTAAATAAAATATGAGAAAAAGGCTTCCGATGTCATGAATCATAGTTTGTCAGGCTTACAGCACATCGTCATAGACATTTTTACCCCAAATCTACAAAACCTGGCTTTATCAAACTGATACGTGTTGTGACTGTGTGTTTCATTACCATCCGCGTAGAATGGCTTACATTCTGTGATGTCAGCATGTAAATAAGTCGATATCCAACGGCATTCGCTTAGATAGAGAGCCGAGATTCTCTATAAATCACTGATGTCTTGGATAATGTCCCACATCCGTTAACTGTTGATGCAGGCCTAGTTAATTGTTTAAGAAAGCGAACAATGGCACTAGGTAGCACAAAATTGCCCTAAATATTGAAATAATACAGATAGATGAGGAGTTGGTGTTGAATAACTAACCTATATAATTCATCAGGGAGATCATTAAAGGCCGAAAACAAAATAAAATTAATTGTGAAACGAGTAATAATAATATAAATAAGAGAGAATATAAGTCATTCGCTGTGATACCATATAAGTAGGGGATATCTGAGACCCTACCTATGATTCTAAATAAATCAGGAATTGGGGTGGAATTTAAACCTGCAAACTCACTCACGTAGGACAAGCTCTGTAGGTTAAAGGACCCAGCTGACCCAACTAGACAAAATAATATAATTTACAAAATACCTTGCAACGACTGTGAGTTAAGTCAACTATATAAGTCAAACTAGTAGGTCAGCGGTAGTCAGACTGTCAGAGCATAAGAATTTAGTGGCTAAAGTAAGAATGGTTGACCCCGAGAAGATAAGTAATTTAGAAAAAAGCTCAGCAATTGTAATGCATGCATTAACACACAACCACACAATAGGGTGGAAGAGGTTTAAAATTCTAAAAAGTAATGTAGGTAGGTGGAGACCGAGAGAGGTTGATTACTGAATCCTGCCTGGTTCATCGAGTCTACACACAACACAACACATGCAATCGGAATGAGTCATCACTCATACCTGAAATATAGAAAATACCACTAATACCAACCAAATCAAGTGAAAAACAATGGAACTATATAAATGAAGTTAGGAAGTCGTGTGAGTAATGCCTTGATATGATTATGAGTGGCAATAAATTGTGCTCGAAACGTCGTTATCAGTTGAAAGTAGTAGAACAGCAGCAGTCAGAATAGCCGAGCATAAAAACCTAGCAGCAAAACCTAGATTAGTTGACCCGAATGAGATAAGAAATCTAGAGAATAGTTCAGCTATAGCACTCACTACATGGAGTTACACACAACCACACAATAGGATGGATGGGATAAGATGACAGTCTTAAAATCTAATGTAACAACTTGATAGAAGGAGAGATTCATAACGGAAGCTTTGTTCATCGAATCAACTGCAAATACATAAAACAGGAATAATTCACCACCTGTCCCAGATATCTTGAAAATTCTAAGACAAAGAGAGCTATAAAACACAAGTTTCAAAGTCGTGTAATTATAATTGATGATATGATTATGAACAGCAATAAATTTTGTTCGAAACTGTGTCATCCAGTAAATAATACTGTTTCACTCACTGTGTATGTGATACAACTAATAAGCAAACTGATATGTTGTCTGTGTAGTCGACGATTGAACCATCAATTCATGGTTTTTTGCTCAAACCCAACTCCCCTATATTTTCGCGGAGACATCGATATACCAGTCATCGTCTCATCGGTCGCTGTTCAGAAAGAAGTCAGACCAAAACTGTCAGAAGTAACATTGTGATTTATTATTGTAATATTTGTTCATAGACCTTAGTTAAAACTTAATTTTAAAGCTGCCTATATGTTGGTGTTACAATAAAGAATTCTCGAGTAGCCAATCGGT